ACTTCATTTGGACAACTTTAAAGATGATTTTCTCAATATTTAGATTTTTTTGCACCCTCAGATTCCAGATTTTCTAATAGTTGTATCTCAGCCAAATATTGTCAGATCCTAACAAACCATACATCAATGGAAAGATTATTTATTCAGATTTCAGATGATGTATAAATCTCAATTTAGAAAAATTTACACTTAAGACTGGTTTTGTGCTCCAGGGTCACATTAGAGTGGTAACGTAATTGGTTTTATTATTATTTTTTTTTGGCTGAATCACATTTTAGATAGGATGTCAACAACCGCTTAAAAATAACTGCATTTACTATGTACAGATAAGTGCAATGGTAATATGTATTATGTTTATTGTTCTTTAATTGTAACATTATAACATGAATTGCAGTGAAACTGTCGTACAGTTGAATTTATTTATATAGTCCAGTGTTTCCCACAGACTTGGACTATATTTGTGGCGGCATATATATGCAAACTCATTCTCACAAACACTGCTTTATCAGACATCACATGCAAGATGACATGAAAATGACATCCAATTTTCTGAAGACAGTCGGTTTCCTTCAGAAATACAGTGATATAAAAACACCCGCACTTGATGTATGGGAAACACTGTAGTCTAAATTGAAGTGTAAATTCTGCAGATTACATCATTGTCCAGTATTGTACTGTCAGCAATTTATTATAAAAACGTTTTCATAATTGTAACATACATATGTACATGCATAATTATTCAGGTGCATGTGTAATAACTTGTGAAAACTTGATGCTACATCATGTATTTCTGTTTTCGTCTGTATTTTTCTCTTTTGATCACTCTTTTGTGAACGTAACTGCACGGGAACGCTCTGGGTCGTTGAGGTCATCGCATGCAGTCGTAGCAGTTGTTTCTGGATCTCACTGAAGCCCCCTCGCGTCTCTCTCTCGCCTGCTGGAGGATTTGAGAGGGGGGCTCGTCTCCTCCATCTAAAGCCCACTAAAAGCCCCATTGTCCAGCCCAGCACTCGGCAGCTGCTGCTTTGTGCCTCTATCCTATTCGGCGCTCCGTAAAGAACAGGCTCCAGGTAGTGAATAGTCAAGGGCGCAGCTAATTTACCCCCCGATCTCTCCCTCTGGCTTTGGGGGAGGAAAGCCAGCTCCAATGCTTTGCATGCAGCAGCTGAAGCAAGAGGCTCAGTTATTATCTGTCTCTTTCTGTCAAAGCCGGGGAGAAATCCTATTAGGTTTTTATTTCTCACCTCTGTTGGAAGAGGCCAGGCTTTTGTTGAGTCCATTTTATCAGGCGCTGAACTTCTGATGTGAAGAGCTTGAGTCACCAGATACAGCCGCTCTCAAACCCTGGTGTGCTTCTGGAGGTCTGGATGGAGAGCGGCAGAAACGCTCAGGCAGACGTTAATCCAGGAACTGCACCAGATTTGATTAAAGGAAGAATTTAGGGCTGAAATATCAGTCCATGTCACACCGGTTACTCTGAATATAGTGTGAATATAACATTCACACAGTTATGATGGCGATATATCAGCATTCTCTTGACTCCATGAAATGCTTTGACTAATGCTTTTAATGCTGTGTTTGGATATTTAGGGGTTCGTGCACCGGAGGTAAGTCATGTCGAAACTTCACCTATAAACAGCTGATCCCTAATAAAACTAAACCCCTAATAACGCCGTAACTGTATGATCAGTGAAGTTGAAAAATGTTATGAATCTTCGTTGGATATCTTAATATATACTCTAATACAGTGGCTTTCAAACTTTTTATACCAAGTACCACCTCAGAAAATATTTGGCGCTCTAAGTATCACCATAATGACCAACATTAAAATACAGTAGCGTAGTAGGCCAAACTATTCAGATACAGCTCTGCACAGTTCAAAGACGAGGCAAGAATATGTATTGTTGTCAGCCACTTTAACATTGTAAATACACAGTTTGAACATTAACACTGCACTGTGCTTACTAACAGATCAATAAAAAACTTAAAAAATGATTCAATTAAAATGTTGTACCTAAAAGTTAAATAAAAACTGTACTGTATAAAAAAAAACTTCACTCAAATAAAGATTAAAATGAAAATGTATTGTGTTTTAACATTAATTTGTGTTTAAAGGGGTCATATGATGCCCCTAAAAAAAGAACATTATTTTGTGTATTTGGTGTAATGAAATGTGTTTATGCGGTTTAAAGTAAAAAAAACACATTATTTTCCACATACTGTACATTATTGTTTCTCCTCTATGCCCCGTCTTTCTGAAACGCGTCGATTTTTACAAAGCTCATCGGTCTGAAAAGCGAGGTGTGCTGTGATTGGCCAGCTATCCAGTGCGTTGTGATTGGCCGAAAAAACGTACTTACAGTCTGTGAGTCAGAACAGAACATTGTAGTCTACTCTCCCAGGATCAGGACACAGTCCTCCATAAAATGTGCTGCACACATCTGAATATTTGGGTTGAAGTGTTCTGGAACAGTGTTGTAAATACAACTTAACCACTGATTTCTACTCGTGTCCTCTTTTGGAAGACCAAACAAAGTAGTTTCACTTTCACAACGAAGCACAGCGTCTTCACGGCATGGCGGCGGCGGCAGCAACAATACTACAGCGAGAATAAAAGTTACGCCTTCTTTCTTTGCGTGAACATTTGGGCGGCGTTATGCAAATCTTCCCACATAGTGATGTAGACATGTGGGGGCGTGTTAGAACGAGCCGTTTTAGGTAGGTGTGGTTGACTCTTAACTTTTATAAAGAATATCTCTTTGAATTTGAGACTTTAGTCTTTGCAACTTTACAGATCTTCTTTATGCACCAAGAGCTTGTAACACTCCAAAGAGAAAGGAACAACTGAAATCGCATCATATGACCCCTTTAATATAGTGATTCCTCTGCGTACCACTGCTCTATGACGACTTTTCTAATATGGCACTGAAATAACCAACGTTATATTTTCACTAATAACTCCACAGTTATGTGTGATAGAATCAAATGTTTCTGCTGAATCCTTGTTTTATTTTATTATTTTTTTACCGTCCTTTTGAGGTTCAGCAGATGAAGACTGTAATAATAATATTGTCCGACAGTAGCAGCGTTGCACTTTTTTTCCAGCAGTTTTCATCAGTTTGAACTACTAAATGACTTCAGCGAGTAACTTAATTAATGCATATAAATTAATATCTCCTTTTCTTTATTTCCTATTGGAACAGGAAGATAGTGCAGGACAAATTAAAGTGGTTGTCTGTTTAAACATCCAGTTTGTGATTTGTGTTCAAGTCCAACAAACCCATGGTTCTAACTTCAGTTAGATGTTCAATGTTCGTTTCTTCAGCTGGTATCCTAAAGCTAACAGTCACATCACTGATTTCATGCGTCTCCAGGTTGCTTTTTCATTTTGAGCTTGATGAACTGAACAGATAACTCTGACGGTACACCTGATGTCGTCCTGAATAAGAGGCTGTTGTTTTGTCCAAACCAAGTAATGTCTGTATTCTATTTCCTTAAATGTCACATCTGTCTGAATTGTCAATTCAGCTGCTCTTGTGAGAATGATTTACAATTCAATTTCCTGCTCTACTGTGTGATGGCAAATTGCAGAGGAAATGGAGGGAATGAAATGCCCCAGAGTTCTGTGCTGTGACACGTACGACAACACGACTCTTCACGCCTTCAGTCACGGCAGACGGACGCAGAAAACAGCTAGAAACCAAAGCCTTTGTTTCACGCTTTCTTTCAAATGTGAGCGTGACGCTAATGCAGATCAGGAGCTAGTTAGCTTGTTAGTCAAATCTCTTCCAAACAGGATTGTTGGATGGTGTCTTGTAAAAGTGCTGTGCACTGGATGTATGGCAGAGATGCGGCGAGGCTGAATGGGTCAGAGGTGTTTAAGAGCTAAAGGTCAGGGGTGAATCCACACTTTAGAGCTGGCTTCTGAGTCGCTGTAGAGCAAATCCTAACCCATTTTCTATTAAATACAAATAACTGCTGGCATTTAATTCTCTGTATTGCATATCTTTGTGATAAGCACAGGGCCTAAAATTAACACTCGCCAAGCACCAAATGCAAGTAAAACTCAGCGCTGGCGAATATATGTAACGGTGTCAGTCGCCAGTTGGCGGGTACAACTTTTACGAATTATAACAATCCAATGAAGTAAAAACGACAGCCAGTTTTAAAAGAGATTCACTGTTTCTGACATAAGCAAATAAAATAGATCATCGCTGCTTCATTTCGGAAGATTCACTTTTCCCTTCTTTATTCATCATAACCTGAGAATGCGGCGACACTTGAAGTATAGTTTGAAAGGCTGTGCGTTCGGCTGTACACAGACGCTGAGCCGCTGCAGACAGCTCACCAGTAGCGCTTCAACGCACAAAAACACACACAATTATGTCAAAATGCACGGTTTTGGCGAGTTACCTTGTAAACGTGGTCTTAAATGAGTTATAAAGTCTTAAATGACTGAAAAGAGTTGGGAGAAAATCGGATGTTTGTCAGATCTGCGTCATATGCATCAGGTTTTAAAGAGACAGCGCTGACTTTCAAGTGAAACCCGAAGTCTGTCATTGATGTAAATCAAAGAACAAAAGAAAAAGAGAAATCCTTGGACTGTTCTAGTCGCTGATTAACTTTTATAGCTTGAATAAAGATTAATATGCATAGTTTATGCATATATAATATAGTTTGTGAAGATTGTTTTAAAATCACTTAAATTAAAAGTTGTTATATAGCCTATTTCAGAGTCTATTAAATGTTAAAAATAATGGCTTTCAATTATACTGTAATGTTGAATGGCTATAATTAATAGGTGAAATTGAGGGAAAATGCACCAGCAGGACAAATTAAAAATATTGTAAAAAGATTTAGTCATTGTAATAGTAATAACTGCCTGTTTTTGCAAAACGAGTTTCATGGCTGGTAAGTTTGATCATGTCACCGGCTATTGGCAGGTGTGGCAAAAAGTTAGTTTTAGGCCCTGGATAAGCACGACTGGTCTTGTGTTGCAGAGGGCATCTGTGAGATCTGGCTGACCAGCGAGGACACAGGTGCGTACGGCAGGGACATCGGCACGGACCTGCCCTCTCTGCTCTGGGAGCTGGTGAAGGAGATCCCGGAGGGAGCCATGCTGCGCCTGGGCATGACCAACCCACCGTACATCCTGGAACATCTGGAGGTGCGTCCTCTTCCTCTCACTAACCGCCTGACTACCATAGTGCACTTCACTGTTAAGATCTTGCAGCAGATGAAACCTTACTATCAAACACTAGGGGTGCGGCGTCACACATAAATTATGGTTCACACTCTACTTCGTTTTTGAAGTCAGTATGGCAAGTGGAAAAAAACTAACAAAAATAAAACAGCTGTTTTTTTTCTTTGTTTTGCCTTTTTTTTTTAATGCTTTACTGGGGGTGGGGGGGTATTTTAAAAACGGATAAAACGTAAGATATAAGTTATGCACTGAGGAAAACATGTCTGAAATGCATTAAGCAGCGCACGCATCTGACAGGAGGGCAAGCTACATTAAATGCTTAATTATAACCAGAGGACCCATACTAAAACTTTTCAAAACAAATATGTGTACCATTACACCTCTATGAGGCACACATGCTCTGTCTGGCACTTTCAAACTGCAGTGTGTTTGGCTTTTCCGATTTTCACTGTGTGTGCTGCATTCACTCAATTAGGTGAACTCACTTTTTTCCCTAGTAAATGGCAGATTATTACGGCGTCTGAGTAGTTTTAGTGTAGATAGATTGTTGTTCTCTTGTTTGTGTGAGCAGGCCTAAATTGACTCATTCAGTCGCATCATTCTAGAACAATACCCAGAATGCCGTGCGTTCCCCCTCTGAGCCCCAGATGCCGAGGACACTCGTAATCCCAAGAAGTGCTGGGAGAAGCAGTTTTAATTTGCAGAGGGTTAATTGAGGTTGTAATTTTGTCCCCCAATGTATAGGTTACGTTTATGCTCGGTTACGTTCAAATTAAAAAGTGATGATTTTTTCCCCCTAAATGAAAAGAAATAACAATTAAATGCTAATTAGAAATGTAGGCGTGCTTGTATACGTGCTAGAGGACGGTTATTTCTTTTTATGTGCTAATTTGATTTCCATCATTGGACTATTTGTCCTTATTTCATTTCCACGTGCTCAGCAAGTATTTTTAATTGCATGTCGTTGCTTTGATGCGTCTATTTGTCTTACGGGAAGCGGCGGAGCACGAGTTCACGATCGGGTCCGTCTGCAGCCCCTGCTCTCCGGAGACTCGGGTCTTTAATCACAGATCCGGCCGGTGCTCTCGCTGTCAGACTCCTCTCTGATCCTGCGGGAACGCTGTGCTCCACTTGTCAGCTTTCACAGCTTGTTATGGGAACAGTCTCATGTTTTGAGCCGTTTATTGCTTGAATTAGATTTGTCCTGCTGCTCCAATGTGAAATACATTACTGACACATTCATATTTAGAGAGTGACTGTTATTATAGCAATATATGCATTGATAGAAATGTAATTAGCCCTCATATCATCTGATTCCAGTATCAGCTCGGTCAAAGCTTATTTGAGAAACTTTTGACTGTGAACGTGCTCGTATCTGTGCTGTTTCTCTCTGTCATCCATTTGACCTTCATACACTTCAAACACGAATGTACCTGTTTATGAATAAATTTTTTTATAGGAAGTATCTTCTGTTGAACACAAAAGCAGATGTTTTACAGTGACTGCTGCTCATCGAGCTCCAGTAAGGGCACACAAGCTTCCTGACACACTATGTATGGTTTTTATGGATTGTGAATATGGTGCTTTAGATAAAGAGCATGTCGTGTATTTCATCCACACTTTCTCGTGTTTAAACTTGCTTCATCGCCATTGGTCCTGTGGCATGTGAATGAGATTTGAGAGCTGCAACGTGCAATTTCATGTTTAATTCCTCATGCAGACACATCGGATGACTTGAAATAGAGCACACAAGTCATGTCACTGCTACTTCTGCAGTGATTTCTGTCATTTCATGAATTCTGTTTGTGTTCCAAAGCTGAGCTCCCCTTGTCATCAGTGATGTATGAATTGTTTTGCTAGGAGTATTTTTGTTTCTGAACACAGATCTGCTCTGTTCATCTCTGTTCTCTCGCTTGTCCTGCTCCACACACGCTCGCCACCCAAAGAAAACAGAATCACTGACAGATTAAACTCTCCACATCACAGCCATAGCGTCCTACAGCGTGACACTGTGCTTCATATGCCTCATCTCTGAAGAAAGTTATCTGGTCATCTGTGAAGGCTCGGCGCTGCTGTGGTTTGGTTCGATCGGAGCAGAATGAAACCGCTCCTTCTCTGTCTCGTGCTGCTCATTCTAAACCACAGCAGGATGATGCGTTACGAGGGGCTGATCATGTGATCTGATTCTTGTGGCAGTTTAATTGGCACATTACATGATTAAAACATGATTTGGTGTCCCATTACTAACGTATACGGTAGATATGGCATCATTGAACATTGCATTACTTTATTTTATTTATCAGATCAGAGTTCCAGATATTTTTTTTTCTTTCATATGCATCAAGCTTGTTATGAGAATACGGCACATGTCTGAGATGGAGGTGGTTTGGTGTGTTCAGTTCCGCCGTCCGAGCCCCTCCCCTTCAGCACACGGGACGCGTGATTGGCTGATCAGAATCGTGGGAGGCCCCGTCTCTAATGAGCTCTGAGCACACATTAGCATAAGCGCATAAATTAATGTTTTCCTTGAGCAAATAGCATGCATATTAAACGATGCTTTGGGCTACAAGGTGCAGGACATACAGACATGAAGAATAATTAAGTTTGTTAATTAACGCTTGTGTGTTTCTCCTGCTATCGTGTCTGATCGGATCTGATACTCCAGAGTGATGTGTGCGTCTGCTCGGAAATTAAAGTGTGTTTACGCTTGTCTTTGTCAGCTAATGGCCATATTCTCATACTGAATATTCAACACTTTAGAGCAATCTGCATAATCTTCCACGTTTGAGGATGGCTTATAGTGACCGTTTCAGCAGTGAGCTCAACATTATCATGACCAGTGAGAGATGATGACCACAACCCTCAGAAATGACCCGAACAACACAAAAGAAGCCTTTGAGTATCAGTCTCATCACGTTTGATGAGCGCATCATCATTAACTGTTAATAACCTGAAGCAGGTGACCAGACAAACTAGCACCCTAGAACCCGTTTACATTCATGCATTCAGCTCAGGCTTTCATCCAACGTGACTTACAAACGAGGAGCCGCACCACACGGATACGCTGTTTTCGTTCAGATCAAAGCCTAAACAAATGTAGAAAGCGTATCCGCAGCCGACACAGAACAGTGTACGCTGCTTGCTTTCAGTGGATATTCTCCATAATGGCGCTACGGTGATGCGGAGGAGACGAATTGTTGAATAACGTCCTTATTTTTGTTTTCTTTGCGCACAAAAAGTATTCTCGTAGCTTCTAAAATTACAGTTGAACCCCTGATGTCACATGGATTGTTTGACCGGTCTCCTTGCTACGTCTCTGGACCTTGATCGTGTTACTGGTCTATGAAGGGTCAGAGAGCTCTCGGATTCCGTCAGATATTTCTTAATGTGATTTAGTGGGGAACAAATAAAAGTGAATAAGTGTAGGACTAAATCTGGTACAGTGTTACACATTGCTTTCTGTATTGTTTTAAAATACATGAATGAAAACAAGTAAATGTATTTATATATAAACTGTAAAATGAAAAGACATTTGTTTTAACTGTACAGCACAGTAATGAAGGCAGCAGCATGTGATAGAGGAGTGCTGTCTGTCTTATATTACTGCCTCCGTCACTGTGCTGCACATTAGATCATCCTATCATAGGACAGAACAAGAAAAGCTATAAACAATCTTCCATTGCGCAAACGTATTATAATACAGAAAGCTCCTACACAGTATGACACAAAGCGCTTATCACAGCGCGCCGCATAGAGAAGTTCACAGCACAAAGGGAAGAGATATTGATGCGTAGTTTATTAAATCTGTGATCGTTTATTGAGCCTGTTCTTTGAACAGTTTTAAATCTCAGTTTCTGTGCTCTAACCGAACACGACACGCAGCTTGAACACTGAATAGAGGATGACACACAGCTGCAGCGGAGAGGAGAGTTTACCAGAACTTCACTTAAATATTCATCTGTACCTCACATTAAACTATGGAATGCTTCAGAACACTTGGACTTTGACTTTATGGTGCTTTATAGTGTTTTGTGCTTTCGTGGGGCTTAACAATAACACAGAATAGTATCCGCAGAATATCAGATCCGGCAGAAAACGGCAGTATCAGAGCCGAGTCGATCCGGAGTATCAGATCCATGCATCCATAGTATTTTCTTTACTCTTTACTTCAAAAACTATGTCTAAAAAGGGTAATATTTTATGTATTTGAGGTCTGAGATGTGGGAGCAGTGAAGAGAGAGTGCAAACATTTAGCATTTTAGCTCAGCATTGCCGTCTAATCAGCCAATATTGTCTTTAATAGCCTGCATACCACTTCATTTTTTAAAACATGGGGTTTTGACCAAATATATTCTGGTTTTATATTTAGATTTTTGTAAAATGTTGCAACAATGTTTTTTTTTGTGTGTGTGTGAAAAATTACAGTTTTGGACATACAAGGTTCTGAAAAAAAGAAAACCTTAAAGTAACTACAAATTTGCATGTAAAGCAGAAAGAAATTCTGTGTGGAGCATGCCGCGATCCACTGTGAAGAGAGAGTGCAAACATTTAGCATTTTAGCTCAGCATTGCCGTCTAATCAGCCAATATTGTCTTTAATAGCCTGCATACCACTTCATTTTTTATAACATGGGGTTTTGACCAAATATATTCTGGTTTTATATTTAGATTTTTGTAAAATGTTGCAACAATGTTTTTTTGTGTGTGTGTGTGAAAAATTACAGTTTTGGACATACAAGGTTCTGAAAAAAAGAAAACCTTAAAGTAACTACAAATTTGCATGTAAAGCAGAAAGAAATTCTGTGTGGAGCATGCCGCGATCCACGCAATGTTCTCACCTTTCCCCCTTTACCTGTTTATCTCTGGTTGAATGCTGGGTAACGGTGGATGAAGTGCACACTACACTCAATAGTATGGATTAAATCTTGACATTTTGCAAATGCCAGTTTTTATGAGTTTGATAAGCTCTTCATTACTGTTTATGATTATTGTTCTCGAGTGCATTTGTTGGAGAGCAAATCAATGAGTCGGATGCTGAAACACGGGTATGAATGGAGGACACGATAGAGGTCAGTCAGGTATCGATGCTTGTGCTTTAAAACTCTGAGCTTCAAATCCAGATGTTCTGCAATTGAATCAAAGTAACGAGCAGACAAATGCATCTGTACTGAGAGCTTTGACAGCTGGAGAAACTGAGAATGTGTCTGATCGAGAGACTGCTGTGTGTTAGGTGTGTGCTTGTGTCTGTACTTTAAGTTTGTGTCTGTCAGCGCTGGGCTTCTCTTTCACTGCCCCTTCACCTCGCAGACAAACACGGCTCACTTTACCCTCAGACCCGCTGAGGTCACGGGGTCAAACGCCTGATCCCTATCAGGTGGCACAGAGTCGCTTCAGACGGCTCGACACGAAACTTATGCTCACAGCAGAACTTCAGACAGAGAACACTGAAAAACCACGGCTGTGTGTGTGTGTGTGTGTGCGTGTATCAGTGTGTGTGTGTGTGTGTGTGTATGTGTGTGTCTATCTGTCTGTCAGTGTGTGTGTGTGCGTGTGTGTGTACCTGTTTTTCTATTCTGGTGGGGACTTAAACCTGACTACACACAGACTCATGGGGACTCGTGTCCGGTGGGGCCCTAAATTGAGGTCCTCACGGGTAAACAAGCTAATAAATCACATAGAATGAAGTTTTTTTGAGAAAGTAAACATGCACAAAGGTTCCTGTGAGGGGTAGGTTGAGGTGTAGGGTTGGTGTAGGGCAGGGTTCCTCAATAGGCGGCCCGCGGACCACATCCGACCCGTGAGAGAAAAATGTTTGGCCCGCGCTAATTTCAAATAATATAGCATGAAAATTCAAACGCAGCATCAGAAAGCTACATTGACTTGTATCGTGTCTACACCGGATGCGAGCGGCGCGGCGCGATAAAATACAAGAACGCTATAATCAGTGATGCTGTGTTGGATGCAGCGCGACACGACAAATCCCCGACAGTAAACTGCTGACTCCTTCTATTTATAACTACTGACACAACGTTCAAATGATTCGCAATGCTTTGTCGCGTCCAGTGTAGATACGATGTTTGCGATGTGATGAGCAAAACATGGCGAGTGTGTAGAAAAGAAAAGTGGACACGGAAAATAGATGATTCAGATGTGAACGGACTGAACAGTTTTGAGTAAGTGTGTTAGTGTGAGTGAGTGAGTGAGTGTGTGTGTTAGCGTGTGAGAGAGAGTGTGTGTGTGAGTGAGTGAGAGAGTGAGTGAGTGTGTGTGAGAGTGAGTGAGTGATAGAGTGTGTGTGTGTGTGTGTGTGAGAGTGAGAGTGAGTGAGTTAGCGAGCGTGCGTGCGTAAGTGAGTGAGTGAGTGTGTGAGTGAGTGTGTGATAGAGTGAGTGAGTGAGAGTGTGTGTGTGTGTGTGTGTGATAGAGTGAGTGAGAGAGAGTGTGTGTGTGTTAGTGTGTGACAGAGAGAGTGTGTGTGTGTGTGTGAGTGAGAGAGTGTGTGAGTGTGTGTGTGTGAGAGAGTGAGTGAGTGAGTGTGTGTGTGTGAGTGAGTG